GCAGCAGTGTACTGCTGTGCTCTGGGCGGCGTGTTCCCGGCTCTGCCCGGGACGTTTCCTGGCCCCGCTGCAAGCAGCCCAGGGCCCCGCCCCGCCCCGCGGACGCGCTGCAGCCGCCGCCGCCCCCTGCGGCGCAGAGTTGGCCCCGGCAGCCTCTGACACTTCCTGCAGCCCGGCGGGAGCGGGGGCCATTTAAAGAGACACAGGGCAATTCCCCGCCAATGGCCGCCCGCGGCTGCGGGGTGGAGCCGGCTCGCTGCCGCGTCACGAGGGAAAAGCAGGAGTGAGAGCCTGGATAGGTAGGTATGTATGAGGGGTGCATCTAGATATGGGGAGTGTATATCTGCGGGTGTGCGGGGTTTACGTGTGTGGGGGTGTGGGCGTATAGGGAGGTGTACCTGTATTTGGATGAGGGTGTATTTGCATGTATGTATATCTATATATGGGGGGATCTGAGGGGGTGAATGTATTTATGGGAAGGGGGGCTGTACATACGTGTATATATGTATACATACATAGATATGAGAGACAAACAGACTTAAGGTGATATGCACCTAAAAAGACATTAGTCACCTTCCTTTGCCTCTCCTTGCTTTCCACCCACTGCTCCACCTCCCTCAGAAAGTATGTAACACTCCCAAAGCCTACCCAAACAGTTACCATTGATTTTATATCCATCTGCCACTTTTTCTCTCCATCCTCTTTTGCTTGTTTTGCCTATGGCAGCACTTGGGGAAGTCCCTGACAAGGGGTGTGGTTAAATACAGCAGATGTAGTTAAATATGGTATCCCCTGATAAGGGTTGTCAGCCAGGTGCAGCTGAAGAGCTTTTAACCATGTTCAGCTACATCTGTTCAACTGGAATTGGGGTTGAATAGATGCTACTCCATAAACCCCCATGCCCCTTCATACACAAACACAAGTATACCTCCCCAACATAAGTGTTACTATGTTTAGTCATCTTTTAAAACACAAGCAAGATGTCTTGCTTTAACTGTTGTTTATATTGTAGTAAACTTCAAGTCTCTTCAGCTATAAATCTGCAATGAGAAGGTTAAAACTCCCTTAAACAGCTTACACCTAGGTATAAGGCAGTGGATATAGATTTAGACATGTTTAGGAGAGCACCAATGAGCTAATAATGTCACTCAACAAACATTTCCTCCTGGGATCCGAAGTGAATCATAGAAAATAAGGGCTGGAAGGGACCGCAGGAAGTCGCATCTAGTCCAACCCACTGGTCAAAGCAGAAACCTCCCTAACCAGATCATCCCAGCCAAAGCTTTGATTAGCCAGGTCCTAAAAACCTCCAAGGATGGAGATGCCGCAGCCTCTTTGGGTAACCTGTTCCAGTACTTTACTACCCTCCTGGTGAGGTTTTTCCTAATATCTAACCTAAATTTCTAATGCTGTAACTTGAGACCATTGCTCCTTGTTCTGTCATCTGCCACCACAGAGAACAGTCTAGTTCCATCCTCTTTGGAACCACCCTTCACATAGTTGAAGGCTGCTATTAAATCCCCTCTTAGTCTTTTCTTCTCCAGACTGAATAAGCCCAGTTCCCTCAGCCCCCCCTCACAAGTCACGTGCCCCAGCCCCCAAACCATTTTTGTTGCCCTCCACTGGACTCTCTCCAATTTGTCCACATCCCTTCTGTAGTAGGGGGCCCCAAAACTGAACACAATACTCCAGATGTGGCCTCACCAGTGCTGATTAGAGGGGAAAAATAACTTCCCTAGATCTGTTGGCAACACAACTACCAATGCAGCCCAGTATGCTGTTAGCCTTCTTTACAAGAAGGGCACACTGTTGGCATATATTCGGTTTATGGTCCACTGTAACCCTCAGGTCCTTTTCTGTAGAGCTGCTGCCCAGCCAGTCCCCAGGCTGTAGCAGTGCATGGGATTGTTCCATCCTAAGTGCTGGACTTTGCACTTGTCCTTGTTGAACCTCA